GACGAACGCGAAACAGCAACGGAAGGAGAGGAAGACGTCAAGCCAAACTGCGTGAGGAGAGCGAGGAGCAAGAACAGGTAGACAGGCAGGAAGAAGACGACGAGGAGAAAGGTGAACAGCGCGAAGACAAGCAGGCCATCCCTAAGCGGGCCAAGCGAAGGAGGACGGACGAGCGGGTCAGGAACACCAGGAAGAAGAGAGCGGGAGGAAGAGGAAGCCATCCCTAAACGGGCGAAGAACAAGAAGACGGACGCGCGGACGACAAAGACGAGGAACGAAAGTGTGAACCGTTCTATGATCTGTGTGAGGGAACGAAGAGGATTCCCGCCTTGATGAACTTGAAGGTGAAACTTCCACATAAGCACATTGATCGAACTGAGATCACCCAACTGAGGTTCATATCTCTGAGGTTCATGTCTCTGAGCTGAGTATATCCGAGGTTACCGTGAAACGACTGAGGTTCCTGACTCCGCATAAGCGGGCCCGCGGTCACTCTCTGGGTGCTCGCGAGGATCTCCCTTTCGGGATGTCACACTTAAATCCCACAAGCGGCAGACACGAAGTTCGAGTAAATCGAGCAAGAAGGGGAGGGGCAGATTCGAGACAGGCTTACGTGTATTCTGAAGCAAAGGCAGAAACACCACACAACCAGAGCCAATGGTCATGCAAAAGCAACAAATACCAACATCACGAGAAGTTGTGGTTCAAATTGAAAGCAGGTACGTCACCAGGCGTCCCTGATATCCTCAGGCCACTGTGGAGAGCTTTGTTAGATGAAGCTCCACAGGCCTGCTTCATCCCCCTGCACTTGGTCTCAGGGTATTCTGAGACTCCGCGCACACACGCGCACACAGTTTGATCATGGCCACAGCCTTTGGACGACGTGGTGGCGACCTTGTTATTTGCCAGCAGGAGAAGGGCGCAGAGGTGAAGGCCCTTTGCGTTGGCTGATTCGCCTCTCCTGTCGAGCCAGCTGCACGAAACTGTGGACATGCAACTTTCCTCTTGTTTGTCATGAGTTTGACAGAGACTCCTTGAGACCTTAACATTGCCCCGCTGCAGAAGGACAAGGACAAAGAAAAGAAGGAAGAGCCAAAGAAGGAAAAAGAGGAGGCCATGTCATAATTTGCGAGGATTGGTTTTACTGTTTGGAATTTGTGTTGTTTGAGGCCAAGTGATGCCTGCCTGCGCACCAGAATGCAAAGCTCGACCGCATCGAAAAGAGTTCAATCCATGGGAACCGATGGTACTAGTAGGTCAGATGTTCTCAAGCCACGCGAGTTGCGTTCCAAGCGCCTGGGGCACAAAAGCTTCGAATGTTTCAAAGGTGCAGTGTCTGTGGACAAATGGTTTGTGTAGCTTTGATTTTGACACGGGGCAGCCGTTATTTGTTTTGCTTCTCGGATGAACGCCGAGCAGAGAGTCAGACGCAATAACCTCATGATTGGAAATAATGCAGTCGTTTGAGGATGATGTATTTGTGCAATTTCCATGGCCGCCTTTGTGCGTGTGTGTGTGACGTCTTTCTGGCAGAGGTCGCCAGGCATGATTGACAGGTATGGTTTCATAGTAGTTCTTCCAAAGCTTGAATACAGGCAGCAGCTCATCACATCGACAACAGCTCGTGTTCAGGGTGATATGTCAAATGCACAAGCCACCTCCACAGACAGCGATTTCACCATGATAGATTGCTGCTGGACTCTTGTCATTTTGGTTTGCAGATGATTCCACTGTCAGGATGTTAATGATCGCATTCAGGATAGCGTTAAAGGATTCGTTGATTTTGCCACCAAACATCCATATTTGGTTGTAGTTGTGCAGCTTTGGTGCCGTACAACAAAGGCATCCACTTGGACCGCAAAATGCAGAGAGTTAGCGTGGCATGTCCATGTGCTTGCTGCTTGCAAGGCATTTGCATAGGGCATGTCGAGTTGTAGCCTGCTTTCGAAGGATCGTCTCAGCCTGACAGTGCAACACTGCAAAAGAACGCAGCATGAATATGTGAGAAGCATATTTTCCATTGAGATCTGCTCCTGAGTTCCACTTACAGCCATAAAGTGAGGGCTATGCCTCAAAGCCATGAGCTTCGAGCGAGGTCAAGATGGAACTACTTTGCTCGAGTCGCTTTCTTCGGCGTCAAGGGCACCTGGCAACTCTAGCAGTGTGGAATCCATCGACTTTGACGTCTATGAAAGCCAAACTAACTTGTCGAAAGGAACAAGCCGAACGGGCCGAACGGTCCTGCAATCCTCTTTGAAATGGATGGCGATTGCTCTCGTTGGACTAGCTACAGGCTCTGTGGCTTCTGGCATTGACTATGGCATCGAGTTTCTCACCAAAAGCCGATTTGGCTTAATCAAGTCTCTCATCAATGCGGGCTGCAGCTCAACTGTCCTTGTACTGGTTCACTTGGTGTTGTGTACAAGCCTAGCAGGCATCGCAGCTGGCTTAGTGTGCTTTGTGTCGCCATATGCGGCCGGCAGCGGCATTCCTGAAGTGAAGAGCCGCTTGAACGGAGTTGACTTGCCTGTGGTGGCACCGCGCACCCTCGTGGCGAAAGCATGTGGAGTCCTTTTCAGCGTGTCAGCTGGCTTACCCTGCGGCAAGGAAGGCCCAATGATACACAGCGGGGCAATCATGGGTGCGCTTTTTGCAAGGCTCACCACGCGCTTGGAACCACACTCCTTGCTCCACGAGATGGACTTGAGGGACTTCATTGCAGCAGGTGGTGCCGCAGGTGGGCTGCTTAGAGACGGATTGTTTCATTCTGATCGTGGCTCATCTAGACATGTTTCTGTCATAGCCAATAGAATTTGTTAGAGCTCGGCGCCCTTTTTCCTTTGGGCAATAAAAGGGTCTGCAGTATTCGCATCCCTCAACCGTTCAAACGCAAAAGCAGGGGCTCATGCACCCCCCCTTCGGCAATCTGCCGAATCAGAGTCTCGCTCAGCGATCCTCCCAGCTCAAGACCCCCTCATTCCGCATCTTCTTCTTCTTGAAGACGCTGTAGCCTGTCCATTCCCTCAGGCGTGTCCTGCTCCCCACCTCATAGTCTCCACCAACCACGAAGACAGGCCCGCTGGTCCTCATGACCATGATGCGCTCCGGGCCGATCCCCATGCCAGGCATCCTTCCCTTTCGCGGGTCAAACTCCTCCTCCGGCAATGCACCTTGATGTAGAACTCCTCCTTCTCGATCCAGCGGTCCTCGGTCCCCACTGGCGCCTTCCTGATCCCCGAAAAGACCCTCTTCACCTCCTCCCACAGATTTGCCTCCTCCGAATCCAAGGCAATCTTCCATTCCGGACCAGTTCGCCTCCGGGACCCGCTCGGTCTGACTCTCATTCTCTGGAGCCTCTCGGCCCCCACCACCAGCCCTGTGGCTGTCCCTTCTCTCACTCTGATCTCGCTCCTCTTCGTGGCGTTCATAATCCACCCTTATCTCCCGCGGGCCCCTCAACGCCTTGATCCTTTCTCCCCCTCCGGTAGTTGACGTACTCCCCCAATCCTCCACCAGAGGTGCTCTTCGCACGAAGCCCAACGCCTGCCCACTTGATTGCTTCCCATGCGGCTACCACCGCCACCAGAAGCGCGGTCCACAGCAGCAACTCCTCCGTGGCTGCGTTCTCGTCCTCCAGGCCAGCTGCATCAGCCAGCTTCACACACATGATGCCCATCAGCACCTTCAGACCACGTTCATGCTCCGCGCCGTACACCACCTTCACCTTCGCCGCGGCCTACCCCCAGAAGCCCTGCTCAAACCGTTCCCGAGCCGCCCTAGCCCTGATCTTGAGCGGCCTCGTCCGCCACAATCCGCCGGGACCCTGCAGCAGCGTCACCGCCGCCGCATTGTCCTGCAACATCACCAACTTCAGTGCTTCCAGTTGGTCTCGACCTTCCACATCGATCCCAGCCTTATCCCGCACCGATGCCACTTTCTTGTCCTCCAGATCGGCGATGATCTCCGCCCACGCCTCTCCTGGAGCACCCCTTCCATCGCCGCCAGCAGCTGTGCCTGCGCCGTCGACCTTGCCACAAACGGCTGCCTTGTGCTCGTCCAGTGGATCGGAGAGGAGCAGGATTGTCGGAGGAGTTGCTGTGGGCGACTCGGACAAGGCCTGACATCTGCTATGGTGTGATAGCGCGTCAGCCGAAGCGAGCCTTTGAGATGGGGATCTACTTGCTGGGCTACCTCAAGAAGACGGTGGGGTGGAAGCTGGAGTTCGGGAGCGCTGCTGAGGGGCATGGAGAGAACGGGGAGTTCCTGCACAAGCGGGGCATGAACACGGTGGAGGTCTATGCGGACGCAGGCTTTGGGCCGGATGGAGGCCGTTCCCAGCAGAGTGTGGTCGTGAGCTACGGTATCTTCCCCATCCTTCTCAATTTCCTTAGGCACCGGGACCTCCCCGTCGTACCTGTTGAGAACGTCCTTGATGTAGTCCTCCTGGCCCACCAACAGACTTCCTCCTCTGCTGGGGTCTCTCATCACTTCCACCCCGCAGAACTTCACCGGCTTGTCGTTGACACGCTCCAGGTCTGTCGCCTCCCACTCCTTCTTGATGTGCTGCGCCATCGCCTCCACGATGTTTGTCTCCCCTACAATCATCATGTCATCCACGTAGCAGCAGATGAACCCCACCGTGGAGCCCCCGAGCCTTACCTTCCAGAGGTTCTCGTCCGCGAGCCTGGCGCAACACCAACTCCTTTCCACCTCCAATGTCCACCTTCCACCTTCTGAGGGTGTCGTCTCGATGGGCCCCCCAGTCTGCCGGCGATGCCCGCAACCCATACAAGGCCTTGGTCACCTCCCACATGACTCCCGGGTTCACCACCTTTGCGTCCAGGAGGATCTTCGGCGGCCTCACCAACACCCGATGGCTAGATCTCCTCGGCGCATTCAGGAACGCCGTGCGGATGTCCAAGCTTCCTACGGCCCAGTGCATTGCCGCCGCCTTCCGCAACAGCGCCGGGGCATCGGACATCTTCTCAGGCCGGGCCACCCTGGCGGAATGGACGCAACGTGAAGCATTTGGCCCGAAATCCCTGATCTTCTCAGCCTCTCCCACCAATTCGATCATGGACTCTCAATCCATGGAATGCCCAACCTACTCGGCGTGGAGCCCGGAGGAGGCCGAGCACGCGATGCAGGGGCAACTGCGACGACAGGTCCGCGTACTTGCAGCTCTGCGCGGACCTTGAAAACTCAACCGAGGCAGCCCTTGCCCTGGTGGAGCCTTGCCACCCTCTCTGGCGGCTGCGGATGATGAGCGTCCGCTCCATTCTTGGCGTCGGTCAAGCAGGTCGGTCACCGGACGCGTACACATCCGAACCTCCCTCCACTTCTTCCTGGATCTGATTCCCACAGACCACCGCCCGGCATTTCCGCCTCCCGTCACCTGCCTTCCTTGTGAACACCGCCTTTCCTGGTGCCCTTTGCACCAGCTCTCCTTCCCTCTCCCACCTATCTACTTCCTCTTTTCCAGGAGGGCTCCAACTTCCTTCCTCATCGTCGGCACCCACATCTCCATTTCCCTCCTCACCTGCTCCAGGCCGATAATCTTTGTCTGCAGGAACATTTCCTCCTCAGCTACTGCCTCCAGCGCCTTGAGTCCTACCCTCAGGCGTTCTCCTCTGGTGACTTCCACCATCTCTTCCTCTAGGAACAACCTTCCAAGTACCTCCGCCCATTCTTCTCCTGTGCCTCCTGTCTCGATATCCTCCATGACCAGCTCCAGGCACCGATCCTTCTCCTGCGCCCAAATCACCTGCCTTCTCTCCAATTTCTCAATCCATTCCTCTCCGACCCCTACCCACCCCGGGTGCAGAGATACTTCTATCCCCTCCTCTGTTTCCTCTATTACACCTTTGGCACCTCCTCTTCTCCTCCTTTCTCCTCCTCTTCTCCTCCATTCTCCTCCTTCTGCTTTCCTACTAACCTTCTCCTTCTAGTCCACAACTCCCCTGCCACCGGGACATCCACCTGGGCTCCGGCACCACTTGCGACACCGTGTAGATGCTGCCCTTCTGATCCATCACCCTCAAACCATAGGTCATATCCTGACACGGGCCGATGTACATCGCGTTCTGGGTGATGGCCTCCCATGCTTCCCTCTTCCACCTCTTTTCTTCACCAACTGCGGAGCCCCCATCTCCCGCAGGATCATCCTGTTGCGAACCTCCACCGCCTGCCACGCCGCCCCATGCCAGAGGTTCAGATTGACGTCCGCCGCCAGCGGCAGTGCCCTTGCCTTCCTCTTCACCCACCCAACAGCCGCCTCTGCTCTGCGTTTGGCCTGCGGCTCATCGGGGCTTGACAGCGTCCGGTGCAGCCCATGACTCACCGCCCACCTTCTCAATGCGGTTGACACCAGCTCCCGTCCCCGGTCCGAGTGCAGGCGAGTGACCTCGAATGCCCACCACCGGAGCCTCGCCACCATGGATTGGGTGGCTGCAATCACCTCCGCAGCTCTCCGGCTCTTCAGCGGCTCCACCAACATGAGAGTTCTGGTGACCACTCCTTCTTGCCCCCCCAGGGCCAAGTGCTCGCCTTCCTCTTGTCCTCTCACCGCTCCTCGCTCCTCAGCAAGCTCCTCAAACGGATCCTCGTCTCCTATCTCCTCACCTCCTTCCGCCGCGACGTCTTCTTCCTTAGCCATGCCGCCGGAGACTGCCGTGACGTAGGAACCCACCAGCAAGTAGCGACGCCCCTCCTTCGACACCTTAAACGGGCCCGTCACATCAATCGCCAGCGTGGACCACGCCGGGTGGGCCTTCCTCCGGTGGCTCCGTCCTCGAAGCCCACCCTGAATGCAGGCCCGGCAATCCCGTCGAAACGGTATATGCCCGTTCTCCAGATGGCTCTTCCATGCCTCTCCTGTCACCTTGGCGACCCTCGCCTCCTTCCTTATCTCCACTCCTGATCGCCTCATCCAACGCCGCCACCAGTCCAGGCGCCCACTCTGCCCAGCTACTTGACTCGCGGCTTCCTCCTCCGCCCACTCCTGGGCTTCTCATCCCATCCAGCTGCCTCAGATCCTTGATGTTTGTCAGCAGCACCGTCGCTTGATGTGGCCCGTCGAACTTCACCCTGATGAGGCCCAAGCGCTCCTCCAATGCCGTGACCTCCGGCAGTCCCACACCGATGGTGGCACGCCCCCCCGGGCCTTAGCCCTCTGCCACTCCTCCTCCCTGACGTAGCTCTTGGGGTCCTCTGGGTGCTCCTTCACCATCCAGGCCCTCCGACCAACCAGCTCTCTGCCGCCCTGAGCCAGCACCATCAGGATCCACATGCGCAGCATCAGGATCGTGTCGCCCTCCACCTTTTCCTTTTCTGCCTCACCAATCTCCTCATAGCCAAGATCTTCTCCTCTTCCCCTAACCGGGTACGGCCCCGGCTCGAAGTGCCTACAGTAGGAGTAGGTCCTACACGGGGGCCCTCTCATCACTCCCTCCGTCCTTCCTCCCACCGCCAGCTTCAGGTAGCCGAAAGTGTCCTCGTCCAGCACATTCTGGCCGCCCCTCCCGGATGTACAGCCTGTAGATGATGTTCACCATGCTGAGCTGCCTATTCGCCACCAGCTCCTTCTTCACCTGCTCCGGGAGTGCCTTCAAGACCATGACCACCCCCCTCTGTTCCGTCCGCGGCAAATCCAAGCAGACAACCGGCAGCTCGGGCTTGATCCGCAACCGTTCCAGCGGACTGGCCACCAACCACTTCCACACATCCTCCCACCACATAGCGCTGTAGGTGGAGATGTCCTTCATGTTGTGCTCGATCGTCGCCATCCAGTCTCCAAATGTCAGCGGACTTCCATCATCCACCAACTTGGCCCGGCCGCTCTCGTTCAGCAGCTCCTTCACCTCCACCCCATCCTTCGTCTTGCTGGCACCTTCCTTGGTTCCTGCACCTCCTCCATGGCCCTCTTCCTTCCTGCACCCCGCACCCGCCTCCTTCGATGTCGACCTCGACCTACGGCGCCCTCCTTTCTCCTCTAGATGCCAACCGCCCCCTGGCCCACGCCGGCTTGTAGCTGATCCCGTCCACCACCCAATCATTCTCCGCACAGCGCACAGAACCATTCCTCATCCGGAGGAGGTCCTTCCGGCAACCTGGTTCCGCCCGGAGTTCTCTCCAGCTTCTGCCTTTTCCCCGGGGGTGGCGGTGGTGGCGTCTCCATCCTCGGCGGCTTCACCTCTTCTTCCTGCTGTGGCGTGTGAAATTGCTGCTGCGGCTGCTGCTCCAACACCAAGATCTGGTCCGTCAGCAACTCCACATGACGCTCCGCTTGCAGCTCCCTAGACTCCCACAGCTCCGCCATCCGCTTATGTTGTTCAGCCTCGCTCTCGATCACCACCTTCTCAAGCTCGAGACGCTCCACCCTGTTTTTCAGCTCGTTCCTCTGCCTCAACGCCTCCGCCAAGTTCATGCTGACCGTTCCGTACTCCTCCACGAACACCCGGTCCAGCTCCTTCTCCAGGCAATCATCCACCTCGACACCCACCCTGTCCTTGGCGCTCCCTGCCCCGTCTTCTCGACCAGTCCTGCCAGGCGTTACCTCCTGACCGCTTCTGTTCTTCTCCATGTCCTCCTTGACCGCCTGCAGTGCCCGGTCCCTTTTCTCTGCGCTGCTGTATCCTCCTGAGCAGCCCTACAGGTGCCCTCGCCACTTCCTCCTCATCACCGGACTCCGGAACCGGCGGGAAACCTTCTGGTCTTGCTTCTCTCAACCTCATCTCCTCCTGAACTCTCTCAGACCAGAAAGGGTTCACACCCGCCACGGGCTCTCCTCCACCTGTCCTTTCCGTCAACCTCGACCTTCGGGTAGTAGAGCTCGGCTCCGTCCTAGGGCTCGCCTTTGAAGAGCTCTCCCGCCCGGATCCCATAGAGCTCAGCTTCGATTCCTTTGCCTGGATGTCGAAGCGCTCCTCGAGCTCTCCTCTGCGGCCACCACCTGTTCATCATCCATTCCTGGCCTCAGCGCCTGCGGCACACCTCCTCTTGTCCTTGACGATGACCTTGCCCGCGAAGCACCACCGGGATCTCCGCCCCGGCCATCTGCCGAATGGGCATCCCGGCCTGCTCCACCCCGGCCAGAACGCCGCCTCCTCATCAGCTCCATGTGCGCAAGCAGTTTGGGCTCATAACCTGTTAGAGCTCGGCGCCCTTTTTCCTTTGGGCAATAAAAGGGTCTGCAGTATTCGCATCCCTCAACCGTACAAACGCAAAAGCAGGGGCTCATGCAGAATTGAATGTTTACACCACGTGCTTCGCCCTTTTCTATTTTCAACTTGCTGGCCTTTTCCCACATTTGTCAATCGGGTCCATGGGTTCCTCTTCGGTCCGTTCACAAATACGGTTCCCCCTTTCCCCGACAAAAAAACTATTGAAGTCACAATTGTTCATGCAGGGTTCTCAGATGCTAAAATGTTTACATGAAATCGTTCAAGGCATCTTTTTGGAAAGGCAGCCAGTTGTTCTATTGGTCCTTGTAAGGAGTTTCGTTTTTGGTGCCCATCAGTGTTGGTTGAAGTACCTCCGCGAAAGATTCGCGATGGATGTCGAAACAAAGTTTTGCCAAGCTGCTGAGCTGTTATCTTGCAAGTCAGTGAAATGTGAGGTCACTTGCTTTCCTGTTTTGTGCCGTTGAACTCTGCGCAACTTGAGCGAAGCTGCGACTTTTGAGCCGGGGCTGCAGACGTGCAGTTTGTGTGTTCCCTTTGGGAGTTGCCACTGTCCAACTTTCCAAGAATTGCAATTTCGAGACAAAATCATTTGGAACCACCCCCACAATGTATCCACAGACCGCATGTATACATCAGGAGTGGCTAGAAATGCAGCGTGAACAGGCTCCATTCGCTTGAACACTCAGCAAAAAACATGAGCTGATCGCGGCACAGGAGTGGCAGCAGCATTTGGCGCTCCGGTGGGAGGCGTTCTGTTTGCGCTGGAGGAGGGAGCGTCTTTCTGGAATCCACAAGTCCTTCTACAGACACTCCTTTGCTCATCAGTGGCAGCCCTAACCTTGAACTTGTTCCTGGGAGGAGTTGATTCAAGTGGCTTTGGCACATTAGGAGCGCTTGGGGTTCTTACCTTTGGCAGCTACTTTGAAAGCAATGCCACCAGCTATCACATATGGGAGTTGCCCTTTTTTATAGCCCTTGGCATAGTTGGGGGGCTAATGGGAGCTGCATTCAATGCACTCAATGTTCCCTTGAGCCTTTGGCGGATGCGGAATGTTGGCGCTGCCGGCGTGAAGCGCTTCTGTGAAGCTGCTGTGGTGGCAGCCATCATTGCCCTGATTTTCATCGTTCCGCCTCTTCTGCTCAACAGCTGCTATGTCACAGATGTGAAGCAGTACAAGCACGACTCACTGAGCATAACCTGCGTACCGTCAGAGCACCACTACGATTCCACTCTGGGCTTGTTCATGACCCCAAGCGAGGATGCCATCAAAGTATTGTTCCATGATCCTGAGCCATTTCATTCTGGACTGCTGATGATGTTCGGCCTAGTCTACTTTGCCTTGGCATGCTGGACATATGGGCTTGGAGTTCCCAGTGGGCTCTTCGTGCCATCGCTTCTGTCTGGAGCAGTGCTCGGCCGGCTGATTGGGCAAGCTGTGCACACAGTGGGAGCAGTGGCCCCTGCTGGGATGTACTCCATGGTGGGCGCAGCGGCAAGTCTTGCTGGTATGGCTCGCATCACGGTCTCATTAGCAGTGATCATAGTTGAAGCAACTGGGAACACGCAGTACATCATTCCCATCCTCTTTGCTGTCATGATTGCCAAAGCTGTTGGCGACTTATTCAATGAAGGCATTTATGACATCCACATTCACTTGAAACATGTGCCCTTCCTGGAGTCGGATGCAAAAGTACAGCTTTGCAATGAGAAAGTATCCAAAGTGATGACTCGGCAAGTTGAGAGCTTGCGGTCTGCCGAAAGTTTGGAAAGACTCTCTTTCTTGATGCAGACGTCGCACAATGCATTTCCTGTTGTGGATGGTACTGGTTCTCTGCTGGGCATGCTAAGCCGCAGTGTGTTGGCCGATGTAGCACGCGAATGTCCAGAGGGCCTAGAAACAGAAGGACCAGAAGCGGTGGATTTGAAGCCGTACGTCAACTTGGGCAGCTATTCAATTCACGAAAGTGCAACAGTGCGTCGAGCATATGCGCTTTTCCGTTCAATGGGGCTGCGGCACTTGCCAGTAGTTGGGCATGGTGGCATTCTAAAGGGTATTGTGACAAGGAGAGATTTTCTGGAGCATCTCACCAGATGTGCAGTGTGAAAATGCATGCGTGCGAAGCTGTGTATGATCTCAATCGTGGCAGGGCTTCTGAGGGTTTGACTTGCTTGAAAATCAAACTCTCACAGGCTGTGCGTGCCTTTGATGCGCATTGCATGTGACTGGTTTCAAGGGGGTGTACTCTTCGATTCTAGCATGTTGACACACTGTTCGCCATTTGCTTTGCCTGGTTAATGGCTGACCGCCTCATGCAGGTAGAGTGTGGAACACTTGTAACCACAGTCATACTGTTCGACCTTGTTTGCTATGTGTACCTGCTTGAAAATCTGCAATCCTGAGAGTTCTGTTTCTGACAAGCTACCACAAGTCAGTTTGATAATTAACTCCAGTGTCAATGTGGCACATATTCGCATTGTCACCGACTTTGTGGTTTGACATGGATGGGTTCTGGGATAGATTTGTGGCAGCTCATATTAATGAAGTTCTGAAGCGAGTTAAATGGGGTCATTCTCTGGATGTTCAGCTCTTTGGCAGTCCTCGGGCAATCATACTGGCACAAATAATTGTGAGAAAGATTCGCGATATTGTCAATCCCATGGCCTCAAGCAGGTCTCTTAATTCAATCGGTCTAGTGACTTGTTTAGAGCGATGCTTCATGTTGCATGGCCTTTGGATTGTGGCCAGCTTGGATCAGATAATTGTAAACGCTGCGCGTTGCCCGCCTCGGCCCAGCCGAGCGCGCAGCGTCTGTGGTTCGACTGCAAGCAGCAGAGCTGGTCAAGCGCCGTTGGACTAATTGATGTTATGGGCCGAAGTTGTGTAGGAATCGCCGAGGCAAGGGCAAGGCGATGCATAGGACTAGGACTGAGTCATGGAGCCAAAGGTCAGCGCCGCTGCTTGCTGGGGCAGCGGACGTCATGGGCGGAAATTGCGCAGAAAGTATTGACAACTAAAGCAGAGCTGCGGTGCTCAACGCGCATGGCAGTCTTGATCGATTGTGTTGGCGTGGGGCTTTTCAAGCGTGGATCGGTCGGAGTCGGGCATCGGCTGCTTGCGCGGGCACACTCAAGCCGGAATTGGAATCCGATGCGCGCGGCGGTCTTGATCGACTGTGTTGGCGTGGGGGTTGGGCTGGGCCTGCGGCTGGGCTGACGTAGCTTGGGTGGTTGCTGGCTGCTTTCAGCACGCCAGACAGGGTTGGGCAAGCTGGACTGGCCTGGGCTGAATGAGCTCAGCCAAGGCCTTGCTTGGCGTTGCTGAGGCTGGGCCTGGCTGGGCAGGCTGGGCAAGACTTGGGCTGGGCTTGAGGCGCCGGGTGGTTGTGGCGGGCTGGGGGCTGTGGGTGGTTGGGCTGGGCTTGCTTGAATGGGTCACTGGTTGCTGGGCCTGATGCTAGTCTGCAAAAAAGGGTCATGCTTTTCGGGACGAAGAAGGCTATTTTTGGTGAGTTTCATGCTCAGCGCATGTTGCTAAAAAGGAGATCTGAGCGCCCGTTGGCCCCCTTGGGGCCGAGGCGAATGTCAGAGGATATCGAGGCTTTCACCGGAACCCCATGTGAGTCAAAACTTTTGCACCTGGATTCTGTTTTGCGGTACGCTGATTGGCGTGCAGGGCGCATCTTGCTGACTCGATGCTGTCATCTATAAGATAAAAGTTGCATAAACCCATGTCCGGCCAAACTGCGAATAAGCCGAGCCTGCGCGATGTTGTGTATGGCTTGCATCGGCCGGGCGTGTGTGAGGCATGTGTTCTTCACAAGGCCTAGTATGTAAGTAGATGTAAAACTACCTAGTCTTATCCACTCTTTCTTATAAAGCTTGTCAATTTGACCCCTGGAGCTCTATTTTGTTTTTGCGTTTCTCCGAGCGACACAGCTGCATTCTGCGGGCAAATGCCACAATCCATTAAATTGGAACTTGAAGGACCGCAACACTGGAGTTGTATATGAGGCAACCAATTTTGGGTATCCAAAGTGCCCACGTGAAAGCTTGACAGATTTCAACAAAAGAGCAGCGGGCCAGGCTGCCCTGCACTTCGGCTGAGACGATTTGCATTGCCGGTCGTCGCATTCAATCAAAAGCTATCAAAAGCTATCAACGCCATGGTAGACTGATCACCGTAATTTCAGGATGGCACTTGCATTGGTAGCAGATCTGCAATTGGGACAACAGCGTGGGCCTTCATAGATTCATAGCTTCTGCGCCACATGTTGGCCTGGCAGAGCATTCTTTGCAAATCCTGCTAGCGCGAGGTTAGCCAAGGCAGGCTGGCACTGGCAAAGGAAGGCTGAAGCACAGAAGCATGTAGCAGCTGTCAGGATTTTTGAATGACCGGAACGCTAGCTAGCCTTTCACTGCCGAGCTTCTATTTCAATCCTTGCTAAACTTTAGAGCCTCCGGCTCAGTCCGCCGACATTGTCCTCTCCCTTTTCTCCTTCTTCCTCTCGCCCTTGTCTCCCTGGTGTGTTCTGTCGTCCTCTCTCCCTCCCTCCGCTCCCCATCCTCCCCATCCCCCCAAGCCACTCTCTCCCCAATCTCCCTCTCTCGTATGTATGTATGTATGTATGTCTGCGTATGTATGTATGTATGTATGTATGTATGTATGTATGTATGTATGTATGTATGTATGTATGTATGTATGTATGTATGTATGTATGTATGTATGTATGTATGTATGTATGTATGTATGTATGTATGTATGTATGTATGTATGTATGTATGTATGTATGTATGTATGTATGTATGTATGTATGTATGTATGTATGTATGTATGTATGTATGTATGTATGTATGTATGTATGTATGTATGTATGTATGTATGTATGTATGTATGTATGTATGTATGTATGTATGTATGTATGTATGTATGTATGTATGTATGTATGTATGTATGTATGTATGTATGTATGTATGTATGTATGTATGTATGTAATGTATGTATGTATGTATGTATGTATGTATGTATGTATGTATGTGTGTAATGTATGTATGTATGTATGTATGTATGTATGTATGTATGTATGTATGTATGTATGTATGTATGTATGTAATGTGATGTAATTTAAAGTAATGTAATGTGATGTTGTGTAATGTAATGTATGTATGTATGTCTGTATGTCTGTCTGTATGTATGTCTGTATGTATGTATGTATCCTTGCACTTCCCCTTTGCTCCCCAGTATTTCCCGCAAAAAACACTGTTTTTCCAGCGTTTTCGCAAAGATGATGTCCAAAAACACAGAGTTTTTCCAGATTTTCGGCAAAAGGATGCAGGAAGCCCAAGCCAGCAAAAAAGCCGGCAGGGGGAATCGAGCCTGGGACCCCTGTTTTGCGACACCGGGTCCCCGAAGACTACGTTTAGTGGAACGTCATCAAATTGCCGCGCGGTCCTTGGCCCCCCCCCCCACGTATCAGACGTCGGGTGGGGGGGGTTAGGGGGGGGGTTATCCTCTATCCTCTCTTAGGTGTCCGACACGCCGAGCAATGTCGGCGGACAAAGGCTTGTGTAGCGAGTGGCACGCACTTTCATGCAGTGGACGATGAGATAGATGGTACATGCCGGAAGAGTCAACTGCAGAGACTTGACGTCAGTGCCTCTTCCAAGGTGTTCAGCAGTCGCAAGACGCACCATCTTCCTTGTATGTTCATGAGTTGACAGCTCAAACACTTCCCAGCTGCGCTTTGAAGCAGAAGCAATGCACGTGTCACTTCGCCGCATATGGGAGTCCAATGCGCAGCAATCTCAGCTCGACCGAAAAAGCAGCAGATGAGCATGAACAATATGCATCCTGATTCATTGAGGCGTTTTTTGCTTGGCAGCGTTCTATTGTTGGGCATGATCACTGTGCTCGCCTCAGCGCAGAAGCACCTGCAGATTGCAGTTGAGGCTTCCACGCAGCACGGGATTGCATGCTATCCAACACAAGCGGGCAGTTTGGTGAAGGAGGCAAACAAAAGGTGTGTGGATTGCGCGCAGTGCGAAGGTCATTTTGCGGATTGTGCGAAGATGCGCGGCACCGAGAGGCGCTGCACTGCGCAACACAAGCTGGCGCAGCACCTAGCATGCTGGCAATGCAGTGCCCGTTGTCATTCACCTGCCACCCAGGCGGGATTTGTGCTTGCTTCGCGCAGAGCGGTGCAGAGCTTAGCGCCTTTGCACCTTTCGTTTTGATCAGATCCATTGACTACTGAGTTGACTGCCCTCTCCCATATCCCAATGAAGTCAGCGACATAAGGAAGTCTGCAGGTGATTGACAAGGAAACACTTGGAACTATACGTAGGATCCAATCATGGCAAGCACTCCTTCAGACTTTGAACTCGCCAGTGCAACGCGGCTAGTACTACGCGTCAGAGAGAACCTGCACAATGGAAAAAGGCAAAAGCAGTGATCAGGCCCGCCGGCCACTCGCTCCTCCCATGCACAGGTCCACAGCAATGAATACTTGCAAACATGTGTCACGCAGACGTGTCAACCAGCACTCATGTTCTGTCTTCTGTTTTGTTGGTAGTGCAGAACCTTGTACGAGAAACGCTTCCTGCTTTTTTTGTAACAATGTATGGCGCAACAAACACAGCATCTTGAGCCACTGCCGAGGGTTTCACGGCTGCCTTTCCTGGCAAGTGCCTTTGAGACGAGCCGGTCCCAAGCTAAGCTGCGGCAGACACATTTGAATCCCGGTCAGTGACCTCGCACTTGCCTCGAAGGTCGCAGTGGCTTGCCGAACATAGGGCTGATCCACGCTCAAGCTGCCAGCCTGGTGGCGGAGACGTGCCAAAGTTGCCAGCGGTGCTGCAGCTCCAACCCATGCGCACACTAGAGGACCCTGAAGAGGTGGTTTTGCACTTTGTGTAGGCACACTGGACAATACACAAATTGCTAATCACTTTAATGATTGAGCCAGCTGCCGAGTTATCACTTCAATAACTATACTGGTTGATACGCGCCGGGTATTGAGAGGTGACGATGGATGATGATTGTGAGGATGAGGGTGATGATGATGATGATGATGATGATGATGATGATGATGATGATGATGATGATGATGATGATGATGGTGATTACTATTATCACCGCCGTTATGATTGGCGATATTGACGATATTGACGATATTGACGATTTTGACGATATTGATGATATTGATTAGGAGAAGAAGGAGGACTGGAAGCAACCATCCTGATGACAATGTTGTTCGGAGTCTGAAGTCATGTTGTGGTCTTTGCATGCGCACGGATATCAATGACGTTGACATTTCTCGGCCGAGGACTGGCAAGAACATGAGGCGTTGGGCTTCGCCGGAAGCCAAATTGCGCGTCTCTTTCGAGCGCAATAAGTCAGCAACGTGTATGTCACATGCACGAATGACAATGCTGATTGTGTCGAAGTGTTGTGGAAGTGCCACAGTTGCTAAGGCTTGGGAAACTTTGGATTTTTTAAACGCGAGTTTCTTTGACGGCCAGCTTGCAGCTGCGTGCTCAGTAAGTGCAGCCATGCCGCAGTTTGCAAGGCTTAGATCGAGCAACATGCTGATGCTTACACAATGTGCGACAGCTTTCCATGGGTGAATGAAGCGGACAGCCTGAAACTGCTTCCCGCGCATGAAAGTTGGTATAGCTGACCTTTGTTGTTGTTCTTTTTTTCAAGAGGCGAGGGCCCAGCCGAAGCCGAACACCTGAAGCATTGAACAACCATAGAATCGAAGAATCAGAGACATCATGACTGCATTTTCGAAAGGTCGAGGAGCTGAAGAATCGAAGACAACGACCCAACCAAAGGGTTCAAGAGTTAAGGAATCAACGCCAAGAACTGAAGAACCGAATCGAAAGGTCGAATGGTCGAGTCCAAGAACCAATTAGAGGGTCGACGGACCGAAGAGCCGAAGGGACGAAGGGTCGAAGAAGCGAACCATTCAAGAGGAAGAATTGGACAACCAAAGCCAGACAGGCTGGCAGCAGGTACCGCCCTGCCACGCGTGTTCTGTTCTTTCCGGGTTTCGCAGGATTCAGCCGCCACCTCGCATTTTTTGGTTCATCACTTGTGCTCCGAAGGCAAATCCTGCGATTCCCGCTGAGCGTGTCCACAGAGAAAAGAACACGTGAGCTCACGTGTTGCAGCGTGAAAGCCTGGTGCCACGGACACCAGAAAGTAAACCTGCCCGTTGCAGCCTTTGCAGCCTGATTGCTGCCCGAGCATAGCTGAGCAGCGCAAGGACAAACATGCACACAACATAATAGCACCTGCATAAATCGGCCGCGACTCCCTGCGCTTGGTCAGCTCCAGGGTCTCCTCAGCGGGCGTAACACTCCTGTGTTCAAGATTTGCTACGCGCTGAATTTGCGTCGCAGTTGTTATGCGTGTGAGTGGGGCATGGGTCTAGGAATCAAGTATGCTGGTATGCTTGAAATTTTGGCAGGTGGTGTGCGATGTGATAGTTAGGCAGGAATCTGGTTGAGATGCCGCAGGGTGTTTTAGTTGTCTGTCGCTCGAGCCGCCAACATTGCTAACTTGGCTCATTTTCGTGTTTCCCCACATGTTTGAGGTTGTTTGGGCACATGTAGCTGCCCCTTGTCCTGCCCGTGCTGGGCAAGGGAATACGACAAAGTGTGAAAGTCACAAAACCTTTGCGCGGCACTTGCTCCCCCCTCCCCTCCTCCCTCCCCCCCAATCTGCACCTCGGAATTGGGGATGGCTGTAGTGTGTCATTGATGTTTCCGTATTTGCTCTCTATGTGGGGGTGGGCTGGGGATGCACCGGCAGGTATGCTCAAGATCTGTGGCGCAGTGGTGCGCGGGCTTGTATGTCAGGTGCCACATTTGTTGAGCAAGGGTGTATGTGGTGGGCGCTGGTTTGCTGTTGATTGTGTGGGATGATCAGGGACGGTGCGGGCACAAGTGACAACAGAAATAGGAAGTGTGGGCGCTGCACAGGTGGGGTAAGGTCGAAGGCGGCATGCTTGTCATGCCGGGCCGGGCGCTGGTGGCGATTTTCTCAAACGAGCCGTTTGGTGTGTAAATGGTGTGTGGACTCGTGGCATTGGCGATGTAGTGTGCGTTTGCACGAGGGCGCTGGTAACCAGTTTGGGCTCATAATGTACGCGATTCCACTTTTACTCAGATGTGTCCAAGTAGCTTTGGTGCGGCTGCTGCAGCTCCTGCTCCGCTGGATGCATTCTTATCATCAACTCTCAGACTCGTTTTTACGTGCCTGCCAGAACGCTTTTTTTGCTTGGAAGCCATCACTGCCTCGGTGCTGCTTCTCTACTGTTGTATTTGGTGCCGTTGCAACCTACTACGGTCAGCAAAGCTGCCATGGCTGTAAATGGTTGTGGCTGTGGTGATGTTTCTTCTCTTGAACGCCCCATTGCATGAATGCAAGCTCCAGTTTAGATGTATGACTACAGAAATCACAGCGACGTTCTAATTGTGCTGAGTATTTCTCCCTGTTGGATCAGCGTTGCTGAGGTCGACGAAATTCGACTTGTTCAGAGCCAGGGCGCTCAATGTAGCCAATCTCCATGTCAAGTCACGGAATTTATAGAGCGAATCTGGAAGACTCAAATTGCGACAGGGGTGAACGCGACAGGCCAGAGAGAGCTGGCAAAGATTGCACGCAGAGTCCCCGACGACGAAGCTGAGGCCATTTTTTTGAGCGGCACAACCATTCTTAGTCAAGTACTGTTGACATACACGTACTCATGTCATGAGCACATCGAGCTGAGCGAGCAGCATGCTGCACCATGCCGTGATAGGCATCCGTTCGGGTGGACTTTTCCACTGATTTCACCAGGGCTTGGACTGGCCCTCAGAGTGACTCGAGTGGGTGGAGAGACCTTGGTGCTGGACAAGGTTGTGGATCGAATTCAACTGGACACACTGCCATTTTTGGACAGCATCAAGGCCTGGGCCCAAGATCAGACACGATAGATATGGTTTGGGCTGGGTGGCCCAACGCCCGAACAGAGCAAGGAAGTAAATGACAGTAAATGGCTTGTTCCTTCTCATGGAGGCTGGCATCTGTTCTGCTCCACGAGCTTGTGCACGTTTGGCACGAGTCCAATTGGGCAAGGCCGTGTATTTGAAGCCATGCCATGTCGCGTGACTTGCATTCCAAGAGTTCCCGCAGAGCCATGTCTATCGCTTATGAGTATGCAGGACTGATCAACTTGTTACGGCACACTCCTCTGACTTCATCAGGAGCAAAGTGTGCGCTGCATATCAGCCAGCCATACATCGGCAGCACGCGTGCAGGAAGTGTGCACATTTGAATGAATTATGCTGCATACGTGTGGGAGGCTCAAATCGCTCTCGTGTTATTCGAAGCTTCGTGTTCATCGACATTGGCCGAGGAGTTGCCTTTTTTCCCCAACGTTTTCACGGAGTCCTGGACGACGCTAGGCGGATCGAGCTGTCAAGCATTTTGCGGACATCAATGTCATTGATACCCCGAAAACTGGGAAATGCTGCGAAATACGCGGAAAGACCCTATCACTTTCAGTTGTTGTGTACTTAGCAAGCAAGCCTTCACATCAAATACGAGAAGCCGTATTCTGCGCTTTCTCCAAACATCTTCGACATACTTTTGTATTTGACCGGCGTTGTCAGCCGCTGCGACTCAGTGGCGCTCAATGTTTTCACAGTTACATACCGGATAAGAACAAACAGCAGACAAGGCAGACTTGATCTGGCAGTTCATCAAGGGCGAGGAGAAAGTTACACAGTCAAAGCAGAAATGCAAGGTCCGCAGTTAAAGATCTTCAGCTAGATGAGCGCACCCTGAACCCCACACAGCATGTTTAAGCGTGAAATCCAACAATATCCAGTATATACCTTCCTTCCAAAGTAGTTGCAAATCAAGGAGCAGACCAAAAGCAAGTCACAACAGCAGCTTGTCGATTTGAATTCCTAAGCAGTTGGGCAGCATCTAATTTTCTGACACTGGCCTGAGTCAAACATCACAGGCAGGGGTCACAAGCTGTTCTTTGTTTGAGGTAACCTGCAAGGCACTACAACAACAAAGAGCTTGTTGCGGCATGCAACTGCAGAGAAAACATAAGTCATCCAGTGACTGCCCATGACAGCTTGTTGCCGAACCTATTCTCCATTCGTATGCTACACTCTGTGCCGCGAATGCAGGCATAACAACACCGTTCCCAAAGCATATTTGGCGGCGAGCCTTAGCCTTTGGCCAGTTGACAGCAGCCTCATCAAGCTTCCCTTCGGCTCGCCTTTGTTCACCCGCCGCTGGGTCGCTTACTTGGAGACGGAAGGCCACTTTTCAGGCAGGCGTGCACATTCATGAAGCCTGCTTCAAGCTGTGACATGACAGGCAGCCCATAGCAGGCGCCTGTTGGCACATTTGAGGTTTGGCTGCTTAGCAATGAACGCGATGTCTTTGGTTGCCGAAAATTAGCAGAATTGTTTGGCGACAAATCTGAGGACGAAATGCGTTGCGCACAGTCATCTATATCACTGCAATCAATGTGCTAAGAGGTGTTGCGAATGCGGTGGCAGGCAGTCTGCTCGAGGATCTTGGCCGCCTGGGAGTGAGCCAAAGAGACGTGATGGTCAGTCTTGCATGAGCCTTCCTCCTGTCAATGAGATGATCATAGACATGCTGGTTTTTGTTGGGACTGGTCGCCAGGCAGCCAAGATACAGCTAAATGCTGGTCACGTCTACCAGGCTTTGCAACTTGGTGCTGGCCTTATGTCCTGCACATTTGGTCCTGTTTTGCCTTGTCCTTTTATTGGGCCATCCGGCTTGGCATTGGCAATTGAGCGGCCGAGCTGGTGGTGAACTTGTCTTATTGGCCGAGATGCTGCAAGTGCATGTGCATGCCCACGATTCATGATCAATGCTCAACCAATATGCATATGTGCGTGATACGGCTGCAACACGAACCTGCTCATGAACCCTTGGAGTCTCGCACCATTTGAGGTTACGATCAGTTGCAGAAATGGCGACGCTTTTTGGGAAAGGCCTGACAACACCATGTTCACTCGTCACTATCTTTGGCATTGATGCCAGGCGCTCATGACGCAACTGGCGGACGGGCTTTGTGCGCGTACCTTCTGGATAAGATCGGATTATGCTGTGATCTTAGATCCAAACTTTCAGAGCCATGGATAATCTCAACGCCAACTAGCTGCACGTTGATGGAGGCTGAACCGCTTTGGGACTGCCAATTAGCACTGGTAAATGAGGAGCAATCCTTTTTGGAGCTGGACGAGCAAATTACATGACACCATTCAGTTCAAAGTTAGGACCAACCATATTTGCAAGTTTTTCAGAACATCTTTAGCCTTGAGCCGTTGCCAGGGTTTCCTAGCATTCTGAGGTTCTCATTCAACAAGCATTGCTGAGCGAGCTTGCATGGCAACATGGTTTGGATGTCAACATATGCGACACGTTACTTTGGAGCAAAAATGCCGACAACCTTTGCCCGATGTGGGGTTTGCGTTCGGAATCATGCATGCGCAGCGTGACCAAGCTTCTCCGTGAAAGCGCTTGGCTCAACTCAGTAACAGTGCGATCTATAAGCCGAGAAGGTTTGCAGAACCTTTCCCGGGTTCACAAGTATGGGCCGGCAGCTCATTACTTGTCACCAGCTTGAGAAGGCTGACTTAGTAACTTGGAGCGTGCAGGTTTGGAGGACATCCGCATCTTTCCAGTATGCGGTCTGTTCTTATGTTTGAGCTTGGTTGTCTTTACCTTGGTCTCCGTGCCAGCGCCTGAGCTTGGCATTGCACAAAGCTGGCATGCGCTGAGTACCGAAATTGCGATCCAAGGCCTTCTTCGTTCAAATCAATGGAGCAGGGACGATATTCGGTGACTTTGGAATGGATGACTCAGAACATTCGGGATGAGGCACAGGTGAAAGCTGAGATTTGGGTGCCACCATGGCTCCGGATTGTGCGTTGATTGCCCGGCCTTGAAGGTGGTGATTGAACCTGGCCTCAAGTTCGTTGGCTTGGGCAACTACCTCATTGAGCTGGGAAGCCCAGCCAGACTTTTCTACGGGTGACTTAAACACGGGTACATAACCTAGAACAGCTCCTTTACATGAAGGGGTACCCGAACTGACCGTTGTTTGATTTGGAAGATCATGCGTCTGTGGCCAGCTTGAAGCGAATCGGCATGGTGCATCATTACTTACATGAGGGCTCGCAGTGATGAATCACTGTCAAGCATGCTTCCCCGGGTTTGGTTTTACGTAAATGGACCGCATACACCAGCCCAAAGCAGGCACTGGACACATACAAGGTACAGAGAAGCAACCTTGGATGTGCATTGTGTTGCGCTCTTCTCTGCAGAGCCCGAACCCTTGAAAAGCATCCTGCGCAAGACAAAGGCACCTTGCACTGCCTGCACACTTGTAACAGCGCCCTGCCAAAAAACTTGGTCACTCCCTTTCAAGAGCACCCGACCCAACAGCAGCGCCAGCACCGTCCTACAACAGTGCCCTGTGCAACTCGCAGTCTTACTGCTCAGAAGAACCTTGCAACTGCACATTGGGGAAAGCTTTTAACTTGCCATTGCATTGTTTCGTTTAGACACTGTGGTTATGTCACTACAATGGGAAAAGCCTACTTGAATCCATGAAAGGGACTGTTTGCATGAAAAGTGGAAGGGTGGTAGTTTCTGTATTCAGCATCCCCTTTTGCGAAGAGAAACTGCGGCAGGTTTCCTGGCACCTTCCAGGCCATGTACTTCATCTCGGATGGACGAGGCAGAAGATGTTCCCAGTCTCCAACTGCGGCGAGCTTTGCATTGCAGGTGTATCGCCAGCTCCGGTTCCAGAGTTGTTCAAGCCAGTTGTCCGCGGAGCCATTCGAGCCCGATCTGCTGACGGGTGGCTTGCCTGAGGACGTGTGGATTGGTGATGTAACTTGTAGCACATTTGTTTGTACTGCGAGTTGCGCGCACATGTCTGACACGGCCTGTATCGGCCATCTCAGATTGGAGATGCAGATTTCAGTTTCTTTCCAGTGGAGGCTCAGGCAAGATAGGCAAGTTTTGCCATGCTGAGTTGAGATGAGTGAATGACATTTACGCTTGTTGTATTCGATGAGAGGCCCAATGCATTGGTAGACCTGTACAACATCCTGGGCGAGACCTTGTACAAGGCTTCTGTGCACACTGCTTGTGACACGATGTGTCACCCTCCATGTTGATACCGCTACGAAAGCCAGATGTAAGGCTCCGGAAATGAAGTCAGAGTTTTACAAGACACTGATCTCAACTGAAGAAACAGATGGCTCGGCTGTGTGGTAAGATCATGGACTGTGCAGATTCACATACCATGCAGACTTGGCATTTGGTGGTACTAATGCCGGTGCCACCATAGGCAATGTATTGTAATCACAACTCAAAGGCATTTCAGACGGCCTACGAATCTGCGATTGGTCAAGGGGGGGGTGGTCTGGACGTGCCGGGTAAAGACTTCGATCGAGGATCAAGAAATTAAATTGGGGAGTAAGTGTCCGTTGCTGAAGCGCAGCTGATAGGATTGGGGAAACTGTGCCATTTTCCACATATATCAAAATCTTGAGATCTATGCACTTGCTCTATGCGCAAGGTGAATATTTGCTTTTGTGTGCAGGACGAGTTTGTGCGCTTTGCCAAAGCTGCTGTAATTGAATCGTGCTCAAAGTTTACCGCCGATCAGCCTAGCCTGCCTGCTTGCGATGTGGGGCAGGGCATTGCTTTTGTATGGAGGGCGCGGGGCTTGCAAGCAGCATTGTGATATTTGTATTTGCCAGGTACTTTACTCAGCGGCAAGCAATCACGACGAACATGATGCAGGCGAAACAATGATTTGACGCAACAGACGAGTGATGCTGCATGTCCAAATGATTCAGCAAGTTGAGCAGGCCTTGCAGGCGAACTTTGACAAGCCGGAGCTGGGATTGAGCATGGAAATCGCGGGCCTCCAGTTGCGCGAGGCTACCTTGGACTACATACTGCACTTTCTTGTCGCGCACTCTATGGCATTTGGCCACCTGCGCCAAGAACGACATTTGCACTTAATTAAGCCTGCGCTGAGGGAGAAAGAGAGAATACGACATACGTAATTATCACGAAAGCTAGCATCAGCTAGCTGGAGTTGCTCTTGCTTTAGCAAGTTTGTTGGTACGGGGGGGGGGGGGGGTGCGGGTACTGAGAATTGATTTATCTCAGCGAGGGGCTTCCAAGAATTGTTTTCTCAATGAAAAATCATCAATTTACCCCCCCCCCCCCCGCCTCCCCCCACTCCTCCGCCCCCCTCTCCTCCCCCCCTCTCTTCCCCCCTCCTTCCCCCTCCCCCCCCTCCCCCCCCCTCCCCCCTTCCCCCCCCCCCTCCGTGGGCTCGACTCCTGCTGGGCCCGTAGCGGTCGAGTGCCCTCTGCCTTTGGAAGAGTGTCTTTTCGATTTGTGGGCGTTTTGCTTTGTACGGCTGCAAGCTCTGTGCGAAAAGCATGTTCTTAGAGGGGTTCGGCGCTGTTCACTTGCGGTCGGCAGAGCCCGACGTTCCTTCAGCCCCCCTTTGTTGATGCCTTCACATTGATTTCAAGGCTTGCTAGGGTGGTTGCCAATCACAGTCGCAGTTCCTGACGTGTGGCGCAGCTCATATGCTGCTGGCAAACTTGATGTTGGCGTCATTTCAAGGCCCACCAAGGGGGGGTGTCTGCCACGGATGGAAGCGTCAACACAGCCCTTTTGGGCGCCGCTGAGTCGTTCTGACTCTAAGGCGTGCTAAAGGGGCTGCCCCGCAATTGCAATTGAAAACCCGCTGCAAGCGTGGATGTTTCTGCAGCTCCACGGACCACCCATACGTAGTAGTTGCTCGCTGTCTGCCTTTGGAAGAGTTTCTTTCAATCGCGGGGTTTCCTGGAGTGTCCAGCTTTGTACGGCTGTAGGTTCTGCGCGAAAGATCTGTTCTGAGAGGAATTCAGTGCTCTTTGCTTGCTGCTAGCAGACCCTGTAGACGCGTCGACGCTTCTGCAGCCTCTATTTTTGACGCGCTCATAATGACGGTCTTGGGCAGCAATGAGGGCACGCTGTTGAAGTTCCAGGAGACATGCCGGGAATGTCCAGTGCGGTTGGTGTCGGTCTTGTTCACAACTTGGCATGTCCAGAAAGACAAAGAACATGTCGACGTTTCAGCAAGACACGAAGGACGCGTCCACGTTCTTGTGGCTTGCCAAATTCTGCAAACTGCGCAGTTTTGGACGGATGTGAGGGACATGTTGACGATTCTGCGGCCCTTTGTTGGATCTATCTGGCACCCTGGCATCGGCTTTAGTCGCGGCTCGTCAGAGCGGTTTTCTGCCCAATTTGCTCTTCCAAAGAGACATCTTGCAGCGCTGACGCGCTCCACGTGACAACGTTGATGTTACTTCGGCATTGAGTTGCAAACAACGCGGAGCCTAGCTTTCGCCCAGCCCCCGCTGGCCTCAAGTAGACGGACGAGACAGACGTCAGACCGACCTACGCAGACATATGCAGCAAGAGACACACACACACACACCTGCAGACGTACATGCACAAAGACCGCGCATACACATAATGCGTACTGAGTTTCTACATATCTAAACCACATACAAACATACCTGCCCACCTACCTGCACGCAGGATGATGCATACACAACACTACATGCATGCATTATTATGAGTATACAAGTCTTACATACAGTCGAACAGATACAAACGCAGACGCAGACACCATACACGCTTGACATGGCATTACAGCGCATGGAGCGACGTTGCGTTGCGTTAGGCTACAACACACATATTATTGACACATACATACAGGTCTACAGGCAGACAGACACAGAGAGACACAGACAGAAAGACAGACAGACAGACAGACAGACTGCCTGACAGATATGCAGACATACAGGCATACCTGCACACCTACACATACACATACGCATATGCACACATCGACGTACACTCATACACATACACACGCATACACATACACGCATACATACATACATACATGCATGCATACATACATACATACATACATACATACATACATACATACATACACAAATGACGTGGAGACATACAGCGACTCATGCGTCCATGCATCCGTGCATTCACACATTCACACATTCACGCATTCACGCATTCGTGCATGCGTGGTTTCATGCATGTATGCGTACATTCGCGCCAGCACTCATGCATGCATGGATTCATGCATTCGTGCACGCGTGTACACGATATACATATACACATACACATACGCATAGTATTGGCACACGCAATCAGATTCAGATTGCATCAGATTACGCACACAAGATTACACATACACACACATACGCATACATTGTTGCCTATTTTTGCAACACGTTCGGGCAACAAGTAAGTGACAAAGGGCCATTGTGCTATTTCTTCTTGGTGCTGCAATGCCTCGTAACGTGCTCTTCATTCTGTGTTGTGCGGCAGGTTGATTTGCCGGATGACTTTGATGATGAGATTGCGAACACTCAGGAACAGATGCAGGAGGCCCTGTTTTGTTATAAGGAGATATGCTGCCAAAATCGAATGGAACAGGGGCTAATGATTGCACAGACATTTGAGCTGGTGCAGGTGGAGGTTGGAAAGGCAGAACGGCAGGACGACTCCCACAACCAATCTGTGCTTTAACTGCCGTTGTGACAGGAGAAAATCATTATCATGGAGGCCCAGGCTCAAGTTGCCCTGCAAAAGGCACACGACCTGGCTTCATCGCTTGCCTGGGTATGGTTTCAGTTTTCTAGGAGCGTGCGTGCCTTTCATTGCCAGTGCCAATTCTTAATGCTGACTCAGGTCGAGGAGCTTCTGAAGGGTGCAAAGGGGCAAGCCACACGCGTTCAAGTCCAGAATCAGGCAGCTGGCAACCAGCATGGTGTCATCATTCCTGGCATTTTGTTGCAACCGGTCCGATGTAGCCTGATTTGGACGCTTCGCAGGCCACAATCCAGCAGCTTATGCTCTTCCAGCGGAAGCAAGCCGAGGCTGCCCAAAGTTCCAACAGAGACATGGGAAGATGGTGCTCAGGCTTTGAGGCACAGAAACTGGCCCATTCCACATTCCGTGGCGTGTTTTTTTTTTTGGGGGGGGGGCGGAACTTGAATGTCTCAAGCGTGACCCCAACATGAGTGCCACTTTGTTGATGAATACTTTGTGATACATGCTTTTATATCCTGCATGATGATACGCCATGCGGGAGTTCATACTTACTACACACGCCACGGTTGATTGTTGCAAGGTTTCACCATGTCTGTATTCTCGTGGATGTGCCTCATCCTGTATCCTACAGATCGCTCAGATTATATTTGCCGCAACAACCTCTCTGAGCATTTTGCGAATGCTGCATCAGTTCTGCTGGCGATGTAGGCAGCCGAGCCGCCCTTCTTGCAAGTTGTGGCCGGCCGTAAGAACGGCCAACGCCTTCCCTTGGCAGAACTTCCATGGAAAAATCATGCTATGGGCTGGGTACGAGTTCATCTTCTGCCTAACACACTGCGAACGGTTGCATTGCCAGACACCTATCTCGCAAGGATTGAATCAGTGGCAAGGGGGTGCACGAGTAGAACATGAGATACAAAATGCATCTTTTCACATGAGGGTACATAAGCAGCCCCATAGCCTCTTGTTTGTTGTTCTATCAGTCGTTGATATTTGAGCTTGTAGAGAGCTTTGGCTCTCAGTTGTTGATCCGTGCTCGGATGCGAGCAGGCCAATTCAGCTATCCTGCAGCAGTTTGTGAACGACACGGTGCCGTTTCAAAGGACGCCTGCAAGTTGTAGCACTCGTCGTGAAGCTTCCCAACCATTGGTGATGTGCACTGCCTGTCGCATACATATTCAGACATGCCAGGCTGTTCGAGACCATGGAGATCAGAGCGCTTGATGACCATGCTGTTAGCAAGATGACAGTAACCCTGTAAGTGGAGCACAAACTCAGGCTCCACTCTCCCATGTGATTTCATGTTTTTGCCTTGCACCCAGTTGTAGTATAAAGAGTTTTGGCAATTGGCCCCAGTGTGTTGCCCATAGGGCTGTTGTGTGGAGAACTGGGCACCGGGCCGTACCAACAGCAGACAGCAAAGCTGCTGCTCGTCACTCGAAGGGGCATGCAGTGTTCCTCTTGATGCAAGGCCTGTCGAGAATTCGAACAGCCTTTGCCTTGTTTCACAGGCTGGCTGCTTGTGGGACCTGCTTTCACTAGCAGTCAAAAGGCACGCCTTATTTTGCTGCTCTCTTGTTTTGGCCCAGCTGACAATTCAGGAAGGGCGTGTGCTAGTATAAGCAAATCCTAGCGTTGGACTTGCCAGGCGCCAGTCGCTGCAGAGTGCACCAAGCATAGAGCTCAACTTTCCATGTTGCACATCATGTTTTAGCAGAGCTGCAGCAGAGCTACACAGTTGCAAGGCCACGGACCACAGACAGTAGTACAGTAGTACAAAGCGGCGTCAAGGGGCGCCATGTGATTTCTAACTCACCGATGCAAGCGGCGCCGCTGGACTTGCCGTGGGAGTTGCCACCGCCTCCACAAGCCCCCCCTGTGATTGAAGAAGCCAGAGCTGGGGGAGCCGGGGGAGCCGGGGGAGCCGGGGGAGCCGGGGGAGCCGGGGGAGCCGGGGGAGCCGGGGGAGCCGGGGACTTTGTTGAACCTCGCTTTGGCCTGGAGCACTCCTTGCTCCAAAGCACCGCTGACTTTGGAGAGATCAATTTGCAATTGCAGAGCCTTCCGCTTGATGTGCCACCACCACCAAAGCCTCCACCTGCTCTTACTGGCCTGGAAGCGAAGAGCTTGTACAGCCTTGGTGGCAGAGGACATCTGCCAGAGACCCTGCAATTTGCACCAACTGAGCAGACTTTCAAGGAGAAGCCTGCAGTAAGATCGCCCACGTTTAGTCTGGATGAGTACGAGGATTGGGAATACAAAGCTAAGAAGTTCTTCAACGAGAGTGCGTTTCCGAGCCGTGCCACAAGCCATGTGAGCCATGCGAGCCATGCTCCGAGCCATGCTCCGAGCCATGCTCCGAGCCATGCTCCGAGCCATGCTCCGAGCCATACAAATCTTGAGGCTTGGGCAGTTCCATTTGGAGGCCTCGATGCCATAGCTGCAGATGTGCCATTTGATGGAAAAGTTGACCAACTGGAAGCCAGGCTTTTCCAGGATTGGCAGCTGCATGCGAAGGAGGCTCTGATCAACGAGACGCTCGAGGACATCAACTTTGTCCAGGAAAGCTATGACGCAGCTGAAAGAGATTTGGAATGGCGAAAGGCCACAACGGTGTCAAAGCGGCAAGAGATTGAAGCACGCCAAGCAGAGATGGCGGTTTTTCAGAAAAGGGTCATGCGTCAAGAGCAGGAAATCGTGACGGACGAGGAGCATGTGCGCTGCAGAGAGGCACAGCTTGACTCAGATGCGCAGCACCTGAAGAGGTGCGAGGGCGCATTGAAGTCTGAAGCAAAACGCATTAAGCAAAGGCGAGACGACCTGGAAAACAGCGAGCCTATGCTCCGGAGAAAGGAGGAGGAGTTGGCGCGCATGCAGGAGGAATTGTCGAAGCTGGAGAAAGAAGTTTCAGAAGCCGAGCAAGAAATCCAGCACAGGAGCGCTGACATTGCATCAGCGGAGGCGCAATTGAGGCGTCGCAGAGCCGAGCTTACCTCGCGTCATGCAGAAGTGGCCGGTGATAGACGTGTGCTTCACAATCGCGAGACTGAGATAGAAGACCGACAAAGCACACTCAATGCTCAGCGGGGATCAGCGCATCCATCGCAAGCGCATCCAATGTCGCAGACAGCACAGGCACCCCAGGCATTGCAGGCGCCACAGGCAGAAGTGATGGCACAGGTGCCACAAATGCAGGCACCGCCGATGCAAGCGCCGATGCAGATGCCAATGCAGATGCCAATGCAGGCACCAATGCAGGCACCCATGCAGGCACCCATGCCAATGCCGGTTCCAATGCCACAGCCTGCTTCAGCACCCGATCCAGTGCAGCAGAATTTGGCGTTGCAACTCCAACAAACTCAGCAAATGTTGCAGATGCAGCAAATGCAACAGCTGCAGAGGTTTCTGAAGGCTTCAAGTCCTGAATCAGACGAGTCAGGAAAGGAAAAGGGAAAGGAAAAGGAGCAAGAAACCAAGTTGCAAGCACTGGAGGAGAGCATCCTTTCCAGAATCGGGGCACTGCAAAAGCAGGAAGCTGCTTTGAACGCAGTCATGGGCGCAGCCGCACAGGCAGCAAAGGAAACGCAAGAGGCTACTGCTGCTATTGTGAGCCAGAGCACACAGGCTGCAAAAGAGACGGCTGCTGCAATGATGGCCCAAAGCTCGGAAGCAGTTCGGCTGGCAATGCGTGATATGTCCGAATCACTGGCCGCAAGGGAACGAGAAGCTGTTGAGGCCATGAGGGTCAAAGTCAGACGCAAGCGGGATATCCGTGTGGATTCGCCAGAGATTCCAAAAGTGCTGGATCTTCCTGCCTCTGAGCCAGCCGGGACCAGGGGTAGTCAGACCCTCGCTGTTCAGCCTCAACCTCAGCCTGTGCAACCCACACCCGTTGAGACCTATCAGCCTAGTCAACCTAGTGCGACCCCCGGCCGGGCCAGCCACGGCATGCCAGCTGAACCCGACAGCGAGCTGATCGAGCCACACATTGCCAGTCAGGAACCTCATGTGGCAGACTCGGCTCAGGCTCTTCCGGAGCTTCCCGAAGCCTTGTTTGCACCTCTTGAAAGTCTTGAAGACCCTCCAATTCAACTTGAAGCAGAGATCAGGAGAAGCATAGGCCAAGCTGTTCAAGGCGTTCAAGTCGTTCAAGGCGTTCAAGGAGTTCAAGCTCGCGAAGCGTTGAGATTTGACAGGGACAGTCATCAGCTCCGCCCGCTCGGAGTCCGCAAAGCGGCCTTGCGGCCTGGCTGGGGAGCAGAGGATGCAGCGACAGTCGCATCAGCTGCTGCGCTTTTGCGAGGAGAGCAGCTGCAAAGGAGTGACTCGGAGGGGGAGCACTGGCGCGTGGGTGAAAGTGACAGCGACGAGTCTTTCCCCAGTGAGATATGTAAGATGGATGAGCTCAGAGAGCGTCAATTTAGCAGGACCAGCATTCTGGATTATGGAGCATCAGGCGAGGCCGTGCAAGAGTACTTAGATGACCGGCCTGCGCTCGCGTGGGAAGTAGATCTTAGCGATTGGCCGAGGACTCCTCAAAAATTGCAAGGATCGCTGGCCGAAGCTGGTAGGAAGCGGATGCTCAAAGCTCAAGAGGCTGCAAAGCGATCAGTGGACTCACCACGCACGCAGCCGCAAGCTCCGCAGCCGGAGAAATCCAAGGCCTCCAAGGCGTCCAAGGCCTCCAAGGACTCCAAGGACTCCAAGGACTCCAAGGACTCCAAGGACTCCAAGGACTCCAAGCATGAAGGCCCAAGGTCGGGCAGATCCTCGGCCTGGGAGATCGATATGTCAGATTTGCAAAAGCCAAAGCCGCAGCAAAGGCTGGCAAAACCGAAGCCACATGCAAAGCAGGCCAAGTTGCAAGCAAAGCCGCATGCAAAGCCACATGAGACGAGACCGGGGTCCCGCGCAAAGGACCTTTCCAAAGGGCAAGTAGATCAACAGTAGATCATGATGTGTTGTCGTATTGCTTCCTTTTGCATCCCATTTCAGTGTTGCGCATCGCATCCGCCAGGACAAGGGATTGGGGGAATATTTGCCAAAGAAATCTGCAAGTTCGAGTTCCAGGACGATTGGCATTGCAGAGACGGCCGGCATCAGCTGATTATGGTATGCTCTTGTGTTTGTGTGTCTGTGCGTGCGTGTGTGCGCAGCATGTTGATAGGCCCTGTTGCAAACGGCAGTAAACATTTGTCTGGAGCCAATTTGGCTGAGGAGCTCAACACCAAAGAGAGCTGCAGAGACCCGCAAACCAAGTCCAAGGCTGCAAATTGACCAACTGGAGAGTCGTTTGCAAGCTCTTGTTGCCAATATTTGTCCTTGTTGACAATTGCAATGAGCTATGCGCCTTTTTTGGTCAGGAGGCTGAGTGGTTTACATCTTTGTGACGGCGCTGCCACTCCTGACATTTGAATTGATTTCACCCTGGGCTTGAGCTCAGAGCGCAGCTAATGACACCGCGTGGTAGTCGGCGACTTAATGTTTGTTTTGAACGTTAGATGTCCTCAATTCTTTGAGTCATGCCGCAATGCCATGCTTTGCTCTGAGCGTGCTTCGGCTTTTCCACGCTTAGCCAAAAGAGAGCATGATGTATATGCTGTCAGAATGGTGAAAGAGCATGTGTCATGCATGCATGCATGCATGTGTGTGTGTGTGTGCGGAGTGGCAGAATACCCTGCCACCACTCTTGGATTTGGACTATCACTGCAAGGGGCTTTTCTCTTTTTGCCGGAGTCAGCCCGCACCTTTTCTCAGTATTATGCGGAGGTGATGCGGGTTCTGATGAGTTGCCTCCGCATAAGAACAGATCAGGAGGGCGAGTTGACGAAACTCCGCATGTGCTGCCATGGATCCTGTGTGGATAGCTTGGAGCATGTGCTGCCATGGATCCTGTGTGGATAGCTTGGCACAACACAATTTACCCTTTTTCGATGTCGGTTTGCGGTTTACTACCCGCACTCCGTGATTCTGAATGTCCATTTGGTCCCTTGGTTGCGGCGCTGTTTGTGCTTCTTGTTCTTTCTGGTAACGTTTTCGTCACTAGAGGGAAACCGAGTGCATCGCGAGCCGAAACTTATCCTACTCGAGACTTATCAGTTGTACTCGAGACTCATCAGTTGTACTCGAAGGATTAGCACCCTCCCTTGGGAGTTGAAGTGTGGTCACCCCAACTTGGGGGAACCTCGGGTGTACCCATCGTGTGACCCCGGGCCGGTTCGCCGGAAATTTTGACCTCAACGTTCTTATCATAGTCCAGCGGAATTTCACGTTTAAGCAGGAGCGAGGTTTCACTAAAGGGAAGACAGCCACCAGATCATAGTGACGTCTCACACGCAGCTGTTGATGACTTCGACTTCGGCTTTGACTTCGGCTTTGACTTCAGCTTAGACTTCGGCTTTGACTTCGGCGTTGACTTCGGTTTTGACTTCGGCTTTGACTTCGGCTTTGACTTCGGCTTTGACTTCGGCTTTGACTTCGGCCTTGACTTCGGCTTTGACTTCGGCTTTGACTTCGGCTTTGACTTCGGCTTTGACTTCGGCTTTGACTTCGGCTTTGACTTCGGCTTTGACTTCGGCTTTGTCTTCTGAGCGTCTTCGAGCTGACCGGTGGATGACCTGCCTGATCACCTTGGCATTCAGCTGGGAGTCTTGGAGAAGTGCTGGCCGTATATTCGGAAAACTCTGAGGCCTGTCATCGCTTCGAACCAGCCAAAAAGGACACCCATGGCAACCACCACGGAGTCTTCTTTTACTTCGAGCCGCGTCGCAGACTTTCTGACAACTTCCACACTCAGTCGATCTCACCATTCTATTGGGCCCACAACACGGACATCAAGTCCGCCATCAACATCCTGAAGGACAAGGAGCTCATCAGACCTTCAAAGCGGATCGAAGACCCGTCACCAAACGGGGAGTGTAGCAAGGATGCGAGATGGAAGCTTCGTTCATCAATTGCTGTTCCCAGCTACGTGGGGATTCCGGTCCGCCTGCAGCTCTTATGATGGCTGGAACGCATGGACTTTGCTCAGGTTCGTCCTCGACGATTTGTGATTCAAAACTTGCTTGCCATTGCCTTGTTTAAATTCATTGGACTTGCACGTTGACTCGACCTTCATTTGCCGGACATTTTCACTGCCTTTACCCGGAACCCCTCCAGCGGCACCAACGACTTCTACGGCGAGTTCCTTGTGACTGCCTAGACTTTGCCTTTGACTTCGGCTTTGACTTCGGCTTTGACTTCGCCCTTGACTTTTTGATTTTGCAGCCGCTTCGGACATGGCACCATCAGCATCCTGAAGGACGAGGAGCTCATCAAACCTTCAAAGTGGATGCCTTTGCCCGGAACCCCTCCAACGGCGCCAACGACTTCTACGGCGAGTTCCTTCTGACTGCCTAGACTTCGCCTTTGACTTCGGCTTTGACTTCGGCTTTGACTTCGGCTTTGACCTCGGCTTTGACATCGGCCTTGACTTCGGCTTTGACTTCGCCTTTGACTTCGGCTTTGACTTCGGCTTTGACTTCGGCTTTGACTTCGGCTTGACTTCGCCTTTGATTTTGCAGCCGCTTCGGACATGGCACCATCAACATCCTGAAGGACGAGGAGCTCATCAGACCTTTCAAGTGGATGCCTTTGCCCGGAAGCCCTCGAACGGCGCCAACGACTTCTACGGCGAGTTCCTTGTGAATGCCTAGACTTCGCCTTTGACTTCGGCTTTGACTTCGGCTTTGAATTCGGCTTTGACATCGGCTTTGACTTCGGCTTTGACTTCGCCTTTGACTTCGGCTTTGACTTCGGCTGTGACTTCGGCTTTGGCTTCGCCTTTGAATTTGCTTGCGTGTGAACCTTGACTTTTGCGTTGATACAGCACAGCCATCTTCGTTGGGCGTTGTGTTAGCATGCGGTTGCTTTGCTTCATGACATGTTTGCTTGCATGTGAACCTTGACTTTTGTTGATGACTTCGACTTCGGCTTTGACTTCGGCTTTGACTTCGGCTTGGACTTCGGCTTCGACTTCGGCTTTGACTTCGGTTTTGACTTCGCCTTTGACTTCGGCTTTGACTTCGGCTTTGACTTCGGCTTCGACTTCGGCTTTGACTTCGGCTTTGACTTCGGCTTTGTCTTCTGAGCATCTTCGAGCTGACCTGTGGATGACCTGCCTGATCGACTTGGCATTCAGCTGGGAGTCTTGGAGAAGTGCTGGCCGTATATTCGGAAAACTTCGAGGCCTGTCATCGCTTCGAACCAGCCAAAAAGGACACCCATGGCAACCACCACGGAGTCTTCTTTTACTTCGAGCCGCGTCGCAGACTTTCTGACAACTTCCGCACTCAGTCGATCTCACCATTCTATTGGGCCCACAACACGGACATCAAGTCCGCCATCAACATCCTGAAGGACGAGGAGCTCATCAGACCTCCAAACTGGATCGAGGACCCGTCACCAAACGGGGAGTATAGCAAGGATGCGAGATGGAAGCTTCGTTCATCAATTGCTGTTCCCAGCTACGTGGGGATGCCGGTCCGCCTGCAGCTCTTTTGATGGCTGGAACGCATGGGCTTTGCTCAGGTTCGTCCTCGACGATTTGTGGTTGAAAACTTGCTTGCCATTGCCTTGTGTAAATTCATTGGACTTGCACGTTGACTCCACCTTCATTTGCCGGACATTTTCACTGCCTTTACCCGGAACCCCTCCAACGGCGCCAACGACTTCTACGGCGAGTTCCTTGTGACTGCCTAGACTTCGCCTTTGACTTCGGCTTTGACTTCGGCTTTGACCTCGGCTTTGACATCGGCCTTGACTTCGGCTTTGACTTCGGCTTTGACTTCGGCTTTGACTTCGGCTTTGGCTTCGGCTTTGACTTCGGCTTTGACTTCAACTTCGGCTTTGACTTTGGCTGTGACTTCGGCTTTGACTTCGGCTTTGACTTCGGCTTTGACTTCGGCTTTGGCTTCGGCTTTGACTTCGCCTTTGATTTGCTTGCATGCGAACCTTGACTTTTGTTGATGACTTCGACTTCGGCTTTGACTTCGGCTTTGACTTCGGCTTTGACTTCGGCCTTGACTTCGGCTTTGACTTCGGCTTTGACTTCGGCTTTGACGTCGGCTTTGACTTCGACTTTGGCCTCGCCTTTGGCTTCGGCTTTGACTTCGGCTTTGACTTCGGCTTTGTCTTCGGCTTCGACTTCGGCTTTGACTTCGGCTTTGACTTCGGCTTTGACTTCGGCTTTGCCTTCGGCTTTGTCTTCTGAGCGTCTTCGAGCTGACCGGTGGATGACCTGCCTGGTCAACTTGGCATTCAGCTGGGAGTCTTGGAGAAGTACTGGCCGTATATTCGGAAAACTTCGAGGCCTGTCATCGCTTCGAACCAGCCAAAAAGATACCCATGGCAACCACTACGGAGTCCTCTTTTACTCAGTCGATCTCACCATTTTATTGGGCCCACAACACGGACATCAAGTCCGCCATCAACATCCTGAAGGACGAGGAGCTCATCAGACCTTCAAAGTGAATGGAGGACCCGTCAGCTCCTGGCCCAAGCATCGATCCTGACCGTGCTAATTCGTTCTCCTCACCGCTTCGGATATGTTGGAAAACAATAGGAACACGCTGATTTGGTCTTCCGGATGACTTGATCTTTCCGTCCGGATTGCCACCGTTGACCTTGCATCGTGTTGCACAACTTCCAGCTCCACATGTTGATCCTGGGTCCCCGTCTTCTGAGCGCCCCCCGAGCTGGCCGTGCTAATTCACGTTCCCCTCACCGCTTCGGATATTTTGGTTGACTTTAGGAACTTGCTGATTTGGTCTTCCGGATGCAAAACAATCGCCCCTCGCTGAGGGGCGTGTGTGTGTGCGGAGTGGCAGAATACCCTGCCACCACTCTTGGATTTGGACTATCACTGCAAGGGGCTTTTCTCTCTTTTTGTCGGAGTCAGCCCGCACCAACGGACCTGCACCTTTTCTCAGTATTACGCGGAGGTGATGCGGGTTCTGACGAGTTGCCTCCGCATAAGAACAGATCAGGAGGGCGAGTTGACGAAACTCCGCGTGTGCTGCCATGGATCCTGTGTGGATAGCTTGGAGCATGTGCTGCCACGGATCCTGTGTGGATAGCTTGGCACAACACAATTTACCCTTTTTCGATGTCGGTTGCGGTTTACTACCCGCACTCCGTGATTCTGAATGTCCATTTGGTCCCTTGGTTGCGGCGTTTTCGTCACTAGAGGGAAACCGAGTGCATCGCGAGCCGAAACTTATCCTACTCGAGACTTATCAGTTGTACTCGAGACTCATCAGTTGTACTCGAAGGATTAGCACCCTCCCTCTTGGGAGTTGAAGTGTGTGTGCGTGTGTGGTGTGTCGGGGGGGGGGGTTGTGCCTGGAGTCAGCAATTGCATGTTTGCTTTACAGGTATAGCCTTGGCTGCTTTGCTACTTGATGTGAGTAGAAAAGAGCTGAGTCTACGCTGTAGACAAGACACCCCTGTGACACAATGCTTGCATTAGGTAGGCATGCTGTTTTGAGTTTAACCTGCGGCGTGCGGTGCTTGCTAGAACATCAACACGCAAGGCATTTGTGGCACTGCAGCTCACGTGTATCTGTTTGGGCTCAGTTTGCTTGCCACTAGCTGTGTTGCAAACGTGTGGCGCACTGCAAGCAAAAGCACGTGCGCCCATACGACCCCAATGCGCGACCATATTCTGAATTCTGGGCTGTTGCTGTCCCAGCCATTCGGCAATGTGCTCCAGCGCAGTAAAACCGCCAAACATTGTAACAGGCTAGACCCGGACGGAACGAGGCCCATCTGGGCCCTCGGGGCTTGGCTGAGGCCTGTAGCGCAGATGCAACTTGATGCGATTTGTGCTCCCTGGCCTTGCAGGTCATGGCGTCCAAAGCGCCTGCCTCCAAGGCCTGGAGCAAAGCATTGGGCAAGCGTGGGACGAGCGTGCATTTGTGCTTGGGTGTTTGCACGCTTGTTTGTTTGTTTGTTTGTTTGTTTGTGTGAGTGTGGGTCTTGTTTCTTTCTGTGTTTGTGTGACATCTTGTCCTTCAGAGAAGAGCGCGCAAGGGCAATTCATGGCTTTGTCAGGCGGGTAGAGAAAAGAAAAATTGGCTCATCAACCTGCTCTATGTGCGGCAGGCTCCACCAGCTGTTTCTGGTGGCATGTGTGGTCACTTGTTTGTTTGGTTGTTGATAGGGGGCCGTTCGCAGCTGGATTTTCCATATATTAGCATGTACTCGTATAATATATATATATATATGTGGTACCCCCCTCCCCAAATGTCGACCTTTTGTTCTGTCTTCATTTTTCATGCCCACCACATCTGACTCTGCAAAGGGAAACATACTCTCCCACGCAACCATTAAACCGTTTGAACCCTCTCTCAGAGGAAAGGTCTGGGCCCAAGACTGTTTAAACCGTGTAAACCGTTTACACGTTCTCTCAGAAAGGTCTGGGAAACGTTTAAACCGTTTGAACCTCTCTCAGAACCCTGGTGGGGGGGGCCTTTCCTTTGAGGAAGGTTTTTAGATTAAACGTGTGAACCCTCCTGGTTCGGCGCACTGTTTCGGGCCTAAATGTAAAAAGGTGATACCTGCTCCACTGAAGTCAAGGGCGCCTTGCCCGGAAGGGTGCAATTCACAGCAATCGAAATTATTCTTTGACTTCAGTAGCACTCCACTGCCCGCTCAAAAGAAGATCCGCCAAGGGTCGATCATCTCCATGTCTTGGTGAGGCAATCCGCTATCATCACCAGATTCGGCACCCATTTCACTGATGCCGCGGATTCCGCCAGATGCGGTTGGATCACTTGCATCTCCAGGGCGGTTCTCTTGTCAGCCGCATATCCTGACGACTCCTTGGTGAGATGGTCGCAGATGGACTTGGCGTCCGTAACTGCGATGTTCCGAAGCTCCTGGGAGGCACTCGATCGAGCATGAGCATCCAGTCGACGCTTCCTCAGCGATTCGTCTCACTTCCTCATGTCGAAGCTTGAGTTGATCAGCTCGTACAAGGTGACGGACCACAGCTCAGTCAAACCCCGAGACACGGCCATTTCAGCCGCCGTGGCACGCGGTGAATCTTGGAGCTCTTCCATATCAAGTTGCACTTCCCACGCTCACCGCGAGCCACTTGATCATATGCTACGCAGAATCCACCCGGCGACTTGCCTCCTCTGACGTTGCCGTAGCTCGCGTCCGTGATAGTTCCCCAGCATAGATCTCCCTCAGGAATTGACTGAATCCTCAGGCACTGATCGGCTGAAGCCTTTAGCTTTTCAATGCACGTGTTCAAGTCCACAATGTCCTGCACCTTCAGGGTCTTCATGCTTGAGCTGCACCGTCCGGTAGTCCTTCCTTGGCTCCCCATGTCAGCGCTCCCACTGCGGCTCCTCTTTCCTCTTTGGTCGCCTCCTCTTTGGCCTGAGCCTTGTGACCTCGCTGAAGTTCTACTGGATGTAGTCGCTCTTCCACGCACTTCTTGTCAATCAGAAAGCCGCCGGAACCATCTACTCGCAGTCTGCGCCCGTTGAATGAAGCACCTTCCTTCAGCTCGTCGAGGTACACAAATTTCCCCAAAGTGAACTTGCCCCGCAGCTCATCGAAGACCTTGAAGAACTCGGGTGAGCCCATGCACAACAAATCATCGATCTCTACCACCACCAGGCCTTGCAGCTCGCCCCGCACGTATAGCTTGAACGTGCAAGGGTCTAGTTGGGACTGAATGAAGTTGAGCAACTTCAGCACGCGCTTTAGGGAGGGAACGCCTCCAATGAGCCGGAGCATCTCCCAGGCCGTAGGCTCCTGCCAGTATCTCCACCAGTTGCCCTTCTCTCATGCCCGCTAGCCCGCCTTGAGGTTGATGAGTGAACAGCCTGCCTTCAGCTCTCTTCAATCCATCTGATTGCATGAACGCGTTCTTCAGATCCCTACTGCAGTCCTCCACCTCTTGCTTGCCGCCAACTGTATACATACCGCCGCATTGCTTGTCGTGACCGTAGGCGCATGTCGATCAAGTAGCAAGAGATCTGGATCCAGGTCTCCTCGAATGCACCATCGGCTTTTGCGGGTAGCTGGAGCCCCCGGCTGATCTGCCGGCTTCCCCCTTCTCACAATCCTCGATGGCAAGATCCTCTTCTACGATTCCTCCACCGCAAGCTCCTGCGCTGGCGAAGTCGCTCTCACCTTGGCCACTGATCCCATTCCTCTTCCGAAATGTCCTCATCTCTAACCTCATCTCCCCCGCGCTTGAAGTCGGGCAGGTGCCCTCGTCGTTGTGCATGGCAGCCTGGAACAAAGCCGGCTACTTGTTCGTGCTCATGTACTCGTCGTAATTAGTACCTGCCTCTCTGGTATGAGCTCCCAGTAGTCGAACGCCTCGCCTTCATCCTCTTTCTCCGGTAGACAGTTGACACCTTCTCCAAACGTCCACAGCGCCCCAGGATACGGCGAGTCCTGCACTTTCCGCAGTCTACCTCGTCATGGGTCCATACGAGGACGAGCTTCGAACTTCTGCCTGTGCTCCCACCTCCTGAGCCGCTTCCGCCTCAGGTACTCCAGCCTGAAGACCTCCTTCTGGCTCCTCGCTGACTTCGCGCTCGGGCTCGTCCATAACTCGATGAGGTAGACGAAGATGAGGTAGATGTCGAGCTTGCCGAAGAATCTGCCTCGGAGCGGGGACCGCCGCTCTCCACTCTGGGACGATGCCGTGGTGGTTCCTCATGTCCACCTCCGGTGGATTTGCCCACTTTGAGATGTCTTTGAAGGCTCGCTTGCTGGCCCTGAGTATCATGTTGTTACGAAGGTTGTCAAACTCTTCTCACAAGAGGCCATGAGCCTCATGTTCTACATTGGTCGCCAACCTCACTTGTTCTGATGCGCATTTCCACAGCTCTCGCCGCATGGAGACCCATGCATTGGGTCCCTCCATCACCCCAGAGCCCACCCATACCGGACGTCGTAGCTCTCGAACTTCTGGGTGATCCTCCTCTCCCTGTCGAGCATTTCGTCATATTTCGTCGTGGTAGCGGTCGCCTGTACACGTAGACCAGATCACCTGGAAGAAACGCCCGCCACTTCCTAGGTCGCGCCTTAGCCGCATGACCTGCCTCTGCACTGTGTCTCACGAAAGCTTCCATGGCCTTCCGCCGCATCTCCAAAATTCGCCTCACTTGCTCTCCTGCACCCTCCAACAATGCCGTCACTGCCTAGGTTTCCCGGCAGCCTTACGTTCTCTCCGAGTTGACATTGTGCTGGACTGAAGCCGCTCTTGTGGTACATTCTGCTCTTCGCTGCTTCAACCGCATAGATGCACGACCTCCACTCCTCCACGCTGCTTGGCATGAACTCTTCACGCATTTTGAGGAAGACTTCTTTGGCGATGCCTCCATGGCGTTCTGTGCGGCCTTGTTGCCAAGGCTCTAGCTCCAATGGTCTTGTGAGCGCAGCCCATTTGCATCACCTTCTCCGCAAATTGCCCGAGGAATTCCCTGCCTTGGTCGTATATGTCGATCTGTGGAACTCCAAAAGTCCGCACCCACGTTCTTTGAAAGGCCAACCATGCTTCCTCCGCACTCTTGCCTTCCAGCGGTTCCAGCATTTGGTAGCATGAACCCCAGTCGATGATGTTCAGGACGGGCTTGGCTTCTCGCGGATTCACTCCCGGAAAATACACAACATCTACACCAACGACTTGTCCTGGCGCTAGACAGGTAGGTGGTACTGATGGCCTCGCGGGTTGGGGTCGTTGATGTCGCTCGCAAACATCGCACTTGAACTCTTTCTGCGCGAACTTCCACACCTCCGGTCGTGCCCTTGCCAGCCTCAGCATTCTGGCAAAGTCTCCTTGCGCGGGATGGCCCATCTTGGAGTGTAGCTCCTTGATCAGCTTCTTGTCTTGCTCAGTAAGACCGCGACCTGGCTCACCAATATCTTCTTCCATAGGCTCTTCACCTCGAAATTCTTGTTCTTGCTCCACCTCCGCTCTTGCTTCCTCCGCACGCAGGTCCTCTTCCAAGTCTCCCCTTTCTCGCATGGTCGTGTCTCCTTCCTCTTCTCCCGCAAAGACCTGTACCTCATTGGGATGAAACACCGTCGCCAGCAAGGGAACCATTCCCAGGGGAATAGCCGTAGAAGCCGACGAAGGTTGCCATAGCACTCGATGTTCCAACTCCTGCCAGCCGCTTTCCAACCAAGCCCATGAACTTCTCCACGGATGTGTCTCGTGGGTCACCACCTTTCCGCCACCTCGAAATCGCCTGGCCGATGGTGTCACCAGCACCATGGTTCCACCACCTCCGTCTCGCCAACCCGACGGTCCAGCCCACTTCTCCAGCTCCGTCACGGACAGCTTTGCACGCTCTGCCTTGATCTTCTCCTGAATCGCGCCCTTGAGCATGGCCACACACAGCTTGTTCGAATACTCCTGGGCGTACTTAGGCAGACCGTGCAGTAGAGGAACATGTTGGTGACCTCCATCGCACCGTTTTTGAAGCCTTGCCGCCAGCATGTCCCCGTTGACCATGAAGTCGGTGGTCTTCCGGTTCGCACCTCCACCCACCTGAAGACCATACATGCATTGATCTCCACGAACTCGCTGCACACCTGGTAGTTCCAGCACCCTGCGCACACATCTTTCCTGCCATGCCTTCAATATTGCTGGATGTTCAATTAGTCCCCATCTTCCCCTCCGCACTTGCCATTCGAAGACTTTCATGGCAAAGTCCAGGTGTTCCAAGCCCTCCGAGAGCATCAAGACTGCCTTGGTGCTGTCCATTCGGCTGTAGTTCCAATTTTGCAAGGGCGAGAACGGTCCGCACGGCGGACTCACCACCACCAGGTCCGGACCTTCCTCCTGTGAATTGTGCACTGAGCCTGGCTTGACCTTTGCACATGTGTCCTTGCACATCTTGGCTCTCGCCAAAGAGGGCTCGCTTGAGCATCATTTTCCTTTGCTTCGCATGTGCGCCTGCGGCCACTTGCTTGACTTCAGAAGCGCCGACTTCATCACCTGGCCTTTGTGGAAAAGAGCCAGCACCGACCACACGCAGCAGCGAGTGTGTGTCGAGCTGGTAGCGGAGCCAGACAGCCGTCTGAGCCCGTTTGCCTTTGAGCCTGAAAGCCGATCCAGGTCCACGCCC